CAAAGGGCTCCAAAAGGGCCCCAAGAAGACCTCGACGAGCCCATAAGACGCTCAAGAACACCATGGCTCCCAGCAGCGAGCGGTGACGTGACAAACTCTTGACACCAAGGCTCCCCAGAGCGCGTTGACGTACAAAGCTCGTCACACCAAGGCTCCCAAGAGCGAGCGGCAACGTAACGGTCTCTGAACACCAGGCCTCCCAACGCAGAGCGGCGACGTACCAAGCTCTTCACACCAAGGCTCCCAAGAGCGAAGGGTGCCATGAGCCCTCTCGGGCCAGTTCCTGAGGTGCTCTTTCCGTTTCCGCGCCGGTCCAGGTAACGGACGAGGTATGGGTGAATGACGTTGTAGTGTGGGGCGAAGCCTTTAAGGGGAGAGTGCAGAGGGGGGGAGACTGAGAGGTTTAGAGGGAACGGTTTAATGGCCGTTTTCGGGTTTTCCATAGGTTTTTGGTATGTTTTTCGGGTTCTCCCCTTTTCCGTCCCAGAAGGGCCTCAGACGGCCCAAGAGGCCCCAAATATCGTCTCAAGACGGCCCCAGAGGCGCCCCAAAGGGGCCCACAACGGTCCAACAGGGCCCCCAGATGGGCCCAACGCGCCCAAGAGGCCCCCAAGATCGTCCCAAGACGGCCCTGAGGCCCCCCAAAGGGGCCACAAATTATCCAAGAGGGCCCCAGACGGCCCCAGAGGGACCCAAGAAGGCCCAAGAGGGCCCCAAGCCACCCCAAGAAAGCCCCAAGAGGGCCCCGAGAGGGCCCCAAGAGGCTCCCAAGCGGGCCCCAGGAGGAGGAGGAGGAGGAGGAGGAGGAGGAGGAGGAGGAGGAGGAGGAGGAGGAGGAGGAGGAGGAGGAGGAGGAGGAGGAGGAGAGGAGGAGGAGAGGAGGAGGAGGAGGAGGAGGAGGAGGAGGAGAGGAGGAGGAGGAGGAGGAGGAGGAGGAGGAGGAGGAGGAGGAGGAGGAGGAGGAGGAGGAGGAGGAGGAGGAGGCCCGAAGCACGGCCCGGGCGCTGGCCAAGACACGCCGGCAAGCAGGCGGAGGGGGCAGCGACGAGCGCTCCCTGGCAGACGAGGTCATTCGAAAAGGGATGGCGGAGGAGTACTCCCGAGCTGCCGCCTTGCTGAGCAGCCCTGGCCTTGCGCCGCTCACGCCCGACACGGCTGCCCAGCTGCAGGCGCTGCTCCAGCCGCGCCCAGCCGCCGCTCTGCCCCCCGCGGCGGCGCCGCCGGCTGGGCCGCCGCCACTCTCTCACAGGGCTCTGAAGAAGGCGCTGCAGGCGAGCCCCCGGGGCAGCGGCGCGGCGGCCGGCGGCGGGCGCTTCGAGCACTGGCGGGTCGTGCTCGCCCAGCCAACAGCCCTGGCGGCCTTCTACGGCGTCTGCGACCGCTTGGCAGAGGGCCGGGTCCCCGAAAGCACCGCCGCGGCCTTGGCGCTGGCGAAGCTCACGCCGCTGCGGAAGCCGGGCGGCGGGGTCAGGCCCATCGCCGCTCCGAATATTTTGCGGCGGCTGGTGGGCCGGGCACTGGTGACTCCCCGGAAGGAGGACTTGGCCGAGGCTCTCGGGAGGCAGCAGTTTGCCGTGGGCACTGCTGCAGGCACCGAACTGCTAGCCCACACTGCTCGGGCTCTGGCGGAGGCAAACCCCGACTTGGTGTTAGTGGCGCTGGACGCCAAGAACGCCTACTGCTCTGCCCACCGGGAGGCCTGCCTCCGCGGCCTGGAGGAGGTAGCGCCGGATCTGCTCCCCTACGCCAACCTCTTCTGCCGCCGCGAGTCCCAGTACTACTTCTGGGACGCGGCCGGGGTCTGCCACCGCCTTCGCTCCACTGGCGGGGTGGACCAGGGGGACCCGCTCGCGCCGCTGCTCTTCGCTTGCGGGCTGCGGCCGCACCTGCCCGCCCTGGAAAACGACTTGCGAGAGGCGGCCCGGGGGCAGGGGCTTAACCCAGACGACGTCCACGTCCTCGCCTACTTGGATGATGTCGTCGTGCTGGTTCCCTCGGCGCTTGCGGGCCGGGTACAGGCGGCCGCGCAGGGGGCCGTCGGCGGCTTGGGCCTTGAGCTGGAACCCAGGAAAACGCAGGCTTGGTCCGCGGGGGCAGCCTGCCCTCCAGGACTGGAGGAGCAGTGGCGCGCGCGAGGCCTCACCCTCGTGGGGGTCCCCCTGGGAGGACCGCTGCCCCCCGCAGGGTTGCCGGACGAAAGCGACGCGCGCCGGGTGGACCTCGGCGAGGAAGCCTACGCGGCGGAGCGCTGCGCGGAGACGGCGGGGCGCGCGGCTGAACTGCTTGCCAGGCTGGCGGCCCTCCCCGCGGAAGCCTCGCCGCACTTGCCGGCCCGACAGACCGCCGCGCTGCTGCTCAGGCACACCGGGGCCAGCAAGCTGACGCACCTCCTCCGCACGAACACCCCGGCGACCTCGGAGGCCGCCGCCGGGGCGTGCGACGACGCCCTGCTGGCTGCTTACACGGAGCTCACGCGCCTGGACCCGCTGACAGAGACGCAGCAAGCCCAGTGCCGACTGCCGCTGCGCACCGGCGGACGCGGCTTCCGCAGCCAGCGACACTTCGCGCTGGCGGCCTGGGCTGGCTCCTGGGCACAGAACCTGAGCAGGGTGAGGGAACGCACGGGGCTCGCTTGCCTTGCCGACCTCGAAACCTGCCCCCTGCCCTTCGCTCGGGCTTGCTGCGCCGCGCTGACTGGGCTCGCGCGGCTAGCACCGCCGCCGCCTCGCCCGGGCGCAGAGCCCCCCGAACTACCCACCTGGCAGACGCTGGCACAGACGCCGCAGCGGAAGCTCCAGAAGACCCTAACAGCAAGGATCGACAAGAAACATTACGACACCTTGCTGGGGGCTCTGGAGCCAGAAGCGAAGGCGCTCTTCCGCTCTTGCGGCGGGCCGCACGCCGGCGCTTGGCAGACTGCTTCGCCTGGCTCGGAGGCGCAGCGGCTGGGCGACGCCGACTACTGCAGCACGTTCGAACGCTGCTCGGCCAAGCCGCGGCGCCCCCTGGCGCGACCTGCTGCAACCGCGCGCGCACAGGGGGGCGCGCCTGGCAGCGCTGCGACGAGCCGCTCGGCGACCGGGCGCACCACGCCTGGCGCTGCGCCCGCGGGGGCGGCCTCAAGGCACGCAGCGGCGACCTGGAGCGCGCCTGGGGCCGCATCCACGCGGAGTGCGGCTACCGCGTGGACTACCAGAAGCACGTCCCGGCATGGGACCGCTGGCGCTGGCATTGCCCTGGCTGCGACACGAGCGGGCACACGCCAGACCGGCCGGCGGGGCCCTGCGGCCGCTGCGGAGCGGCGCTGCAGGCGAAAAGGGAGGAAGCCATCCTCGACCTCGACATTCAGCGGGCGGGCTGCCCCAGGCTGTTTGTCGACGTCACCGTGCGCTACTGCGTGCCAGGCGACGCCCGCGCCCTGGCTGCCGCGGCCGGCCGCGACGGCGCGGTGAACGCCGAGGCCGAGGCCGACAAGCAGCGGCGCTACCCCGCGGGCCGCACCCCGTGGGGTATGGTGCCGCTCGCCCTCGAGACGGGCGGCCGGCATGGGCAGGCAGCCCTTCGGCACCTCCGCTCGCTGGCGCGCGACGAAGCGGCCCTCCTCGGCGAGGAGGCAGCGGCGGCCGCCGCGAGCGCCCTGGCGAGCCGCTGGGGGCGGGAACTCAGCGTGGCCCTTCATAGGGCCACCGCCCGGCAGCTCCGCACCGCTCTCGGGGCGGACGGCGCCGAGCGGGCGGCCGCGCTGCGGGCTGCCGAGGCGGCCTAGCCGGCCTGGCGCGGCGGTGGAGGAGGCGCACTACCGGGTCGTCCTGGGGCCGTACATCTGCATCGCGGAGCTCGGCCTGAACAGAGGGGGCGGGTGTGCGTGACTTGTCTCATGCTTGAGGAGGAGGAGGAGGTGGAGGAGGAGGAGGAGGAGGACGAGGACGAGGAGGAGGAGGAGGAGTGAGGGAAACAGCGATAGAGAGAGAGAGAGAAGAAGAGAGAAGAGAGAGAGAAAAAAAAAAGAGCGAGGGAGGGAGAAAGAGAGCGGAGAGAGAGAGATATATCATTCGATAATATATATACTATATAATATATATATATATATAGGAAGAGAAGAGAGAAAGAGAGAGAGAGAGAGAAGAGAGAGAGAGAGAGAGAGAGAAGAGAGGAAAAGAAAGAGAGAAAAAAGAGGAGGGTGAGGCAAGAAAGGCGGAGGGTGAATGACCTCATCCAATCCCACCCTCCCTCCTCCCTGCCTTCTCCTGCGTCTCTTTCCCTCCTTCCTCTCCCTCCTCCCTCCCACCCTCCCTCCCTCCTCCCTCCTCCTTCGTCCCCCTCCTCCGTCGTCCTCTCCTCCTCCTCCTCCTCCTCCTCACTCCACTCCTCCTCCTCCTCCTCCTCCTCCTCCTCTCCCCCTCCTTCTTCACATTCCTCCTTCCTCCTCCTCTCCCTTTTTACTATACTCCCGTCCATCTCTCCCTCCTCCTCCTCCTCCTCCTCCTCCTCCTTGTCCTCCTCACTCTTACCTCCTCCTCTCCTGGTCCTCCTCCGCCTCCGCCTCCTTGTCCGCGTCCTTGTCCTCCTCCTCCTCTTTCTTCTCCTCTTCGTCCTCCCCCACCCTCCCTCATCCCACCTCCTCCTCCTCCTCATCCTCACTCCCCTCCTCCTCCTCCTCCTCCTCCTCTTTCTCGTCCTCCTCCTCCGCCTCCTCCTCCTCCCTCCTCCTCCTCCCCGCCTCCCTCCTACCCCCCCCACCTGCTGCTGAGCCATGCCCTGCCATCTCCCTTTCGGCGGCCCCGTGTGCGCTGCCCTGGCGACTTTCTCAGTGAATCTTCCGACTAATTTCCTGCCCTGGCGGCCTGTCCCTGGCAGTCCTGTTCCCTTGGAGCGTGGGTGTCAGCGGTGCACTTCAAACTTTCGTCCTCCCTCCATTCATCCCTCCCTGCCTGCCTGCCTGCCTGCCTCCTTCCCTCCCTCCGTCTTTCTTGGGGATCGGGGTCGTGGCCGCCCTGCAGGCGCATGGCTTCCGGCCCGGCCCCGCGGGCCGCGCCTTCTTCGAGGACGCAGCGCCCTGTGGGAGGAGGAGGAG